GGTGGCTTGGTTGTCGTAGCGCTTGCTTGCCTGCCTATGCTCATGGCCTGAAATCATTAAGATATTTACCAAATGAAATTGTTGGATTCTGATCAGTTGTTTGGGTTAATTTTATATTTAGGCGGTCTTCATTTAAGTTGTAAAGGGAAGTAATTTTGTTGTTGTTGGTATCGCTATGTGCAAGAGACTGTGCTGTGAGCGGGGGACCGTAGAGGTTATAAAACGGAAATTATGCAATTAAATACAAAACTTCAGTAAGCGAGAAGTAAGACATTATTAAAGTAACCGTTTATTTTCATATTTGTGTCTAAATATTAGTATATTCATAGACGTTTCTGCATTATTTTGCATTCAATCAAGCCGACAGCGCTACCTTAGTATTTCGTGGCAACGGCACCCTTCAACTAGAACAAGTATCTGTTAGAATATGAAACTAAGAATTAGAATAAATGATGAAGTTGAAGAATGATTTGACGTCCTCAATTCTCGAAGCCAACATAAATTGCCATATACTCTTTTTAAATGTGTAGAAATTACCTAGAGGATAGAGAATATCCTATGTAACAATCATCACTTATTTATTATTGTACATTTAAAATATTTAGGTCTAGTGAAGTTATTTTTACTTTCGTATTTTAATTTGCATTTTAAATCCTGAAGCAACAACTGAAAACTATTTTGTGTTGCACCAAGTTACTAAGATCAAGTTTTAATTAATTTCAAAAGTTATTTTATTCTGTAGTTTTGTTATTCTGGAATTATAATTTTGTCTTTCATACTTAGATCTACATGTTTTAGTTGTAGCTAAATCCAAGTTATTGGTGTAATAAAAATAAAATATCATTTATAGATCTATTGTCAATTCTTATAATAAATATATATATAAATATATATACATATCAGAACTTGTGGTATTTTGTTTTGTTTAAATAATAGTGGTTGCATGTCTCGTGCCAAGTTAAAGTTTAACTTGGTATTTGATTGATCAGAAGTAAACAGAAAACTTAATTAGCACAGTTTAGAATATTACAACCGTTACTCCTGGATAGGATATTTATATCTCATACTACGCATGTTGCTGCTGCACTGTCTCACATGCTAGACAGAATTATTTGTATGCTGAACTTTTCCAATTGATCGGGTAGTATTAAATAACGATCATGAAATTACAATCGTCTTGACTTTGGAATTTAAGAGTAACCTCCATTTGAAAAACTGTCGCGCTACGGCCAACAGCATAATCATTGCTAGCCCCAAACTTGGATTATCTAATAATATTGGATTAACAGCGAAGCTCATTATCGGTCACATCGAAATTCGCTCAACAACGCTCGGAGACATGTGAAATTATAATGTCTTTGGAAATATTGCCTATTAGCAGAGACCATATAACAGATTAATATATGGTCTCTGCTATTAGCTATTTACAAGACTTCTTTGATAGGAATTTAGAAGTTGGAGTACTTAGTAAGGATAAGAATTTATGGATGAACAACTTTACAAGACATAAAAAATATACTGGTAATTAATTGCGTCATTTTACTGGCTGATAGTAATTTTAAAGCATTTAACGAGCCCTATTCCCGAGAATAGGATTATTTGCCAAACAGTCTGGTCTGTATATTTATTAAACAATTTGAACATAATTTGAGATATATTTTGAATGTTATTGTTTCGCAACATCGAGAATATTGTGACCTGATACAACTGTCTTGCTGGCGACTGTTTTTGTTTATTTACACCTGCGTAATTTACCGGATCGTATTTATCAGTGACATCCGTAGATGGTGAAACTTCGTTTATTGATAATAGTTATACAATTGTAACATAAAATAACAAATTTACTGATTTGGGGAAATCAAATACATCTAAATTATAATACCTTTGATATCGGATCGGTTGTGCTCCTTCTTCACGTGCCCCCGAAAAGTTGGAACAGTCGGGACACTCGTAGACAGCCGTCGTATTTTTTTTCCAATTGTTTTCTTTGATTGAAACCTTTTGGGCGATTTTACCAACGGTTTGGTACCGGTAACATCAGTGTCATTCTCTTCAGACCAAGAATCATCCGAAACCAACCCCTGGTCGTAGTCTGTTAATTCTCCAAGTAAAATATTGAGGTCCAAGTCGGAATCGTCCCATTGAATGATGTCGTCCATGGCTATGCCGAATGTTAATCGAAATAAATGTATCGGGCTTATGAAGACATGCATTTCCTCGAAGACACACATGTTGCAGCCAATTGACATGTGCTAATGAGAGATAAGATCAAGATTATTGTAATCTGTTTAGGGCCGTCGTTTTATTGGATTGTCGCTGGTCGTAGTCGGAGAAATCTCGACTTAGGGAATTAACTCTAGCCCGGATATTATATAATATTGTTTACGTGGTTACCAGACAAGTCAGTCGTGGATATCTGCGCATCTGCTGCGCACGTGCAGCTGTTCCGGGAAGTTAACAGCAGGGTGTCGGGGTGTATCAGTTGCATGCCAGGCCGTAGCACTGATGGTTAGTGATAGACTTTTAGGGAGAGCCGTCCGTCTATTATATGGTCTCTGGTGTCACAGAGCGTGGATTCGGCAGCTCATGGCGTAAATGCTACTACTTGGGTCTGTCAAGACTCCATACTGTGACAGGGGCCACGGGTGGGGGCACGGGTGGCCCAGTCGTCTAAGGCGCCGTGATTCGCTGTGCAGAGTTTCGTCCCTTGGGCAGCCGGAAACCTATGATTGCGGGTTCGAATCCCGGTTCGCCCCTATTATGTTACTAGGTTTGTCAGCATCCGACCAGTGCTCTTGGGTTTCACGTAAGTTGCAAACGTCCGATACCTGCATCACTTCGGCCTTTCCCCCCACATTAAGCTGACACGCCGTGATATAACTGAAATACTGTTAAAAGCGGCGTTAAACCCAACTCACACTCCCATACTGTGTCTGACGTGTTCGTCATATCATTAGAGGCGATTCCTCTAATACTTATAATAACTTTCGTCAGTTCTACCAATATTGCCCTAAATATTGTGAACAGACTATTATCAAAACAGACCAATATGAACCTGTTTCAGATTGGGTTGTCACTGCGTGACGTGGTCATTGGAGTGAGTGAGTGAGTATGGTTTTACGCCGCTTTTAGCAATATTCCAGCAATATCACGGCGGGGGACACCAGAAATGGGCTTCACACATTGTACCCATGTCGGGAATCGAACCCGGGTCTTCGGCGTAACGAGCGAACGCTTTAACCACTAGGCTACCCGACCGCCCCTGTGGTCATTGGAAGAATACACAAACTGAAAAAGTCCAAACAGAATTGGAACAAATCCGACCTGTCCTAGCAAGCAATATTCTGAAGATCTTGGGACTGACACGTCCGTTTCAATTACAACTCAAAAGGAAGAAATCTATATAACATCACATGTCATGATGCTCTGCATACAAGTGCAGTCGACTTTCCTTTTTTTCTGACGCCATGGCATTTGGTCGATAATGTCTGATCAAAGTGACGATAAGTGCAACACGCATTGTAGATATATAACACATAGTGTTATCGAAGGTGTATTTAATGCGGGTATTTATATAAACTGCATGCAAACTTTATGATGTTGACGCTGCATGCAAAACCGTCATCACGGGTGCTTATTCAAATCCAAAACACATAGTAACAGGAATGGCGTACTGCTCAAACGCATTCTCGTACTTCTCACTCAGATATACCATTGCTTGAATATTTGCACTACAGATTGATATTGATCGTTCCCGAAGAATTTCATGTTTTGTTGTATAGGAACATTGTTCAGTGACTCAGAGCGTCAAATCGCAAACAGCGAGGATGAATGCTGGCTATTTCGTTCAAGTTTATATTTTAACCTCGTCTGTGTTTCTGTGTTTTAGTGAAAAGCATGTGCAAGGTAAGAACCTGTTCTCTTTTACACAGGTTTAATAATGTTCACAGAAATGTGGCCAGAGGTTTGACTGTTTGTGATATATGTTGTGATGTTAGCTCCTAGATACGTATGTCAAAATATGTCTGTTTGTGAAATATTTTGTGATGTTAACTCCTAAATACGTATGTTGGAATATGACTGTTTGTGAACTATATTGTGATGTTAGCTCTCAGATACGTATGTCGCTATAGGACTGTTTGTGATAGGGTTGGAGATATTAGCTCTCAGATACGTTTGTCGCAATAAGACTGTTTGTGATACGTATGGAGATATTAGCTCTCAGATACGTATGTCGCTATAGGACTGTTTGTGATAGATATTGAGATATTAGCACCCAGATACGTATGTCGCAATAGGACTGTTTGTGATAGGTATGGAGAATGTAGCTCCTAGATACGGATGTCGCTATAGGCCTGTTTGTGGTAGGTATGGATATATTAGCTCCCAGATACGTATGTCGCGATAAGACTGTTTGTGATATGTATGGAGATATTAGCTCTCATATACGTATGTCGCTATAGGACTGTTTGTGATAGATATTGAGATATTAGCACCCAGATACGGATGTCGCAATAGGACTGTTTGTGATACGTATGGATATATTAGCTCTCAGATACGTATGTCGCAATAGGACTGTTTGTGATAGGGTTGGAGATATTAGCTCTCAGATACGTTTGTCGCAATAAGACTGTTTGTGATACGTATGGAGATATTAGCTCTCAGATACGTTTGACGCAATAAGACTGTTTGTGATACGTATGGAGATATTAGCTCTCAGATACGTCTGTCGCAATAGGACCCGTTGTGATAGGTATGTAGAATTTAGCTCCTAGATACGGATGTCGCAATAGGCCCGTTTGTGGTAGGTATGGATATATTACCTCCCAGATACGTATGTCGCAAAAGGACTGTTTGTGATAGGTATGGAGGTATCAGCTCCGTGATAGATACGTGTTCCATATGAATGGATTTCGTTGAAGGTCAAGGCTAGTCCCAAACAGTTTAAGCACACAATACATGTATCTTGCTCATTTATAATTGAACATTGCCTAAACTGCATGGATCTAATCTCTAGGCAGTTCGTGGCTGAGATTGAAGGTCAGGGAAATTAAACTAGATGTACCTATAGCTTTTATTTTAAGGTAGCTACGTGCAAAAGCCTTTTTTGTGGTCAAAGTCGTACAGTATTGACCAGGTGTTTTCTCAAACCGGAAGTGATGTTACTAGAGCGGAAGTACCAACAACTTTCCTAATAAGGTAGCTACAGGCTGTTTCAAGTTGTCTTGCACGTGGCCATTGTTTCCAAAACCGGATATAATATTATCAAACAGCCATTGCTTATTATTTTGGTAGTAAGTGCGACAGAGCAGAAGAACTGATAACATTGTTATTGAGATATCTAGAGCCAAGAGACTTTGAGTTTCGAAGCTGGTCTGCAGTGGGCATGCGCAACAGGAAGTGCTCGCAACTGTGTTACTATGATAACTGAAGGCATATGCGTGTCTGTCTCGATGTTGTACTGCGCTGAGCATTTGTGAGGCCAAATGTCACCTCTTGGGATTAAGTCAAAATGGTACAAGTTTTGGACACTAGGGTGAGATTCTATTTATCATCCAACATCATTCTTCCAACGTTTTCAGTTTGTAGACAGTAAAAAGTGTAAAAGATCTGTTAACAGCCTCAGTAGCAGAGCCTTAGTGATGTTATTTGATTGTGACGTCATGGTAACTAATGACGTCACAATGGTCTGGAAAGCAGTGTGATGCAATTTCACCCAAGAGATTTCTCCTGGGAGCCAGTTTTGGGTGATGAACAGTTCATCATACATCTGTGACGCGTCATGACAGTCACATAACAGAGGCCATAGCACAACGATATAAGAACATCCGAGTCATTCACGCACAGTGATGCCACCTGGAACATGCCACTGACTATTACTGCCCTTTGGGTTCGGAATTCAATTGCTAGCGGCTAAATCTACAGGTGAGGTGAGGTGAGGTGAGGTGAAATGGGGTTTAACGTCGCGTCCAAGATTATTGCACTTATATAGCGACGTGCATGTACGTGTGTGTGTTTGTGTGGCTGCTTGTACTAGTCCGGACTGATGCCAATTTATAGTGCTAGCTTACTGAGATACCATGCTGCTGTTTAACATGAATATCCCACTCAGACACAGTATACTGACTCCGAGCCGACCAGTCCTTGTTTTAGCCCATAAATGCCGAGCGCCAGACAGGGTAACAACAAGTACCATCTTTAACGTCTTTTGGTATGACGCGGCCGGGGATCGAACCCCGAACCTTCCGCTCTCCGGGCGGACGCTCTACCACTAAACCACGGAGGCGGTAATATACAGGTGACCTAGCTCTACATTGAAAACACTGTCTGTCTTTCGTGTCATTATTGGATAATAATAAAGGTTTCACTGTGCTAACCACTGCAATATTTTCGTTATGGGAACGACAGTAATATGACATTTTTTACAATCAGGTTTTTTGGAAGAGACACGTGAGGAGGATCATGGATATATTCCTGACTTCATCCAGAAGCAGCTTGGATGGAGAAAGATCGCTGTTCTGATGCATGGCCATGATGGTAATTCTTTTTGATTATTTAATGGGATTACTTGCCTTTGCATGTGTTTGTGACGGGTGGGGCAGGATACGCTCACCTTTTCGCGAAGACCTGGTATCATTACTATTTCATAGTGATTCATTAACACATGGTCATGACATAGTCGGAATCTTGCAGTCAACTCTGTTTTATGCAGAAATTTCTATTGGGTATGGACAGGGTTTTCATTCGTTCATTCATTCATTCTACGAACTGAATGGAACTGGACAAAGTCAACCTTATACACAGCAATAGTACTTCACACTGTACCAAGGGGACGGTCGGGTAGCCTAGTGGTTAAAGCGTACGCTCGTCACGCCGAAGACCCGGGTTCGAATACCGACATTGGTACAATGTGTGAAGCCAAATTTCTGGTGTCTCCCGCCGTGATATTGCGAAAAGCGGCGTAAAACCATACTCACTCACTCATTGTACAAAGGACTACCGTCTTCCCTCGATTAAACGCCCGAGTATGAAGAGCCTGGATTAAACCCTGGGTATGGGGCATCTGAAAACAATAAACGCCAGGTCTCGATTAGACTCGAGTAGTTTCTATGCACGGACCATTCCCCATTATTCTCGTGGCGTACTGATCGATCCACTGTAAGCGTACAACATATTGTTCACGCTAAACAGAAGTATTTTAGAAAACTTCTAAACAACAGAACTAAAGGTGTGTCTTAGCATCTTATTAGTCGGAAATTGAAATATTCATTCATTCATTCATTCATTCATTTTTCATTCATTCATGCATTCATTCATTCATTTATTCATTTATTTATTTATTCATTCATTCATTCCTTTTATTATTTGTTTATTTATTTGATTATTCATTCATTCAATCAATCATTTATTCATTCATTCATTCATTTATTTGATTATTTGATTATTTATTTATTTGATTATACATTCATTCATTCATTTATTTATTTATTTATTATTTATTTGATTATTTATCATTTATTATTCATTCATTCATTTTACGAACTGAATGGTACCGGACAAAGTCAACCTTGTACACAACACTACTTCACATTGTACAGAGGGACAGTCGGATAGCCTAGTGGTTAAAGGTGTGTCTGAGCAACTTATTAGTCGGAAATTGAAATAATTAACACCGGGGGTAAAGAGTATTTGAATGATATATACGCCCGGGCTTTTAATCGAGGAAATACAGTAATAGTGTTGACTGTTGTTAGGAGTGAATGAGTTGGATTTAACGCCCTTTTAACAGTATTCAAGTTACATCACGGCGTGTCAGCTTAATGTGGGAGGAAAGGCCGAAGTGATGCAGGTCTCAGACGTTTACCACTTCGGTGAAACCCACGAGCACGGGTATGGTGCTGACAAACCTAGAAACATAATCGGGGCGAACCGGAATTGGAACCCACAATCATAGGTTTCTGGCGTGCCCAAGGGACGCAACTCTCCACAGCGAATCGCGGCGCCTTAGACGACTGGGCCACCCGTGCCCCCACTGTTGTAAGGAGTACATGTAAATAACATGCCATATCGTGGGGACCGACCATATGAAATACTGGAAGATGCTTCATGGGGGATTGTTTGGTTTAAAGTACAGTAAACTACGGTTATAACGAACTCAAGGGACGACTAATTTTAGTTCGTTATAACCGTGGTTAGTTATAAGTATATATACACCAAATATACAGCAAATGGACGAGAAATCATATTTCGTTATATCCGTCAGTTCGCTATAAGCGTGTTCGTTATAAACGTAGTTTACTGTAGTTTCTCGAAATTAATATTGACATGTCTTTTCCCCAGACTTGAAAAAAGTAAAAAATGTACTGTTTAATTAGTCGGAAAGAAAAGTGAAAATCAATGATGACACCAGCATATTTTGTCATAACAACACGCTGTTCGACTTCTCTTTAAGCAAAAGTGTTAGTTAAAGTGAAAACATATTTTGTGGACAAGCATATCAATAGTTGATAATAGCTTGATTCAACCTCATTCGTCGTTGGAATACAATGGCATATTAAACATGTAAAACGTCAACGCCAGAGAATGATCTGTCTCGGTTTTCTGCCGAAACAGATTCCACTGGTCTTACAGTGAGTGAGTGAGTTTGACGCCGCCTTTAGCAATATTCCAGCAATATCACGACGTGGGACACCAAAAATGGGCTTCAAACATTGAACCCATGTCGGGAATCGAACCCGGGTCTTCGGCGTGACGAGCGAACGCTTTAACCACTGGCCTTATAATTACAGGCATAAGAGTGTTGAAAATTATATGGATCTCTGAAAATCAGTGATGACACTAGGTGTTCGCCGACCAACCAATATCGAATAGAGTTGGCTTATACGGCAAATTAGGGGTACCACTGGCCTATTAGACTTGAACTCACTGTGTGACATGTCTTGTTGTTTGTTGATTAACGCCGTACTCAACATTCCAGCTATATGACGTTGGCCTGTAAATAATCGGGTCAAGACCAGACAATCCAGTAAGTGACATCAGACGCATCAATCTATGCAATTGGGATACGATGATATGAATCAACCCACCCTCATCCCGGCAAGCATCGTCGCTTCTTATGACACGAGGGGGCACGGGTGGCCCAGTCGTCTAAGGCGTCGCGATTCGCTGTGCAGAGTCGCGTCCCTTGGGCACGCCAGAAACCCATGATTGTGGGTTCGAAACCCGGTTCGCCCCGATTATGTTTCTAGGTTTGTCCGCACCATACCCGTGCTCGTGGGTTTCACCGAAGTGGTAAACGTCTGAGACCTGCATCACTTCGGGCTTTCCTCCCACATTAAGCTGACACGCCGTGATATGACTGGAATACTGTTAAAAGAGGCGTTAAACCAACTCACTCACTCACTTATGACACGAATGCGTTGCTGAAGACCAATTCTACCCCCAGTCTTCAGAGGTTGTTGCCACGTGTCTTTAAGAACAAGTTACTGTTTATGTACCTAAATTTGAATCATGCTATAATCAGAATTTGGTTTCAGTGAACAACAGTCTTGTGTCTGGCATATCCCAGTCGTCTCTGCACTGTCTTGTGTATGACCTCAACATCACGGATACTGCTGACGCCCTGCATGCAATCCACCAGATCCTGTTCCCTGCAGTCAATGTGGTGGCCATCATGAAACAAGACCATCTTCTACAGTTAATGACGACGGTACATGTAATCTTATCATATCGTTACTTGTCCGTTTCGAATGGTTGGCTTTAAATCTCATAAGGAAGAAAAGGTGAGTGAGTGAGTTGGATTTAACACCGCTTTAACAGTGTTCCAGTTATATCACGGTGTGTCAGCTTAATGTGGGAGGAAAGCCCGAAGTGATGCAGGTCTCAGACGTTTACCACTTCGGTTAAACCCACGAGCACGGGTATGGTGCTGACAAACCTAGAAACATAATCGGGGCGAACCGTGATTCGAACACGATCATAGGTTTCTGGCGTATCCAAGGGACGCAACTCTGCACAGCGAATTGCGGCGCCTTAGACGACAGGGCCACCCGTGCCCCTTGAAAGAGGTGAATGGAGTACGCATATATAAGAATTATCTTATTCTTCAAATGATTAAACATCTTATTCCTTAAATGCTTAAATATCTAACACGCAAACATACCATCTTGAAACTAAAACGAAATATCTTTTATTGTTTTAGGTTAACACTTTTGATGAGAAGACAAAAAGACAAACTGATTTCCAACATCATTCAAAATGGCTACTTTTAGCAGAAGACCTGAATGTTCCTGATCTTCAGAATTCAATAGTTTTAGAAAATGTAGCCCTGATGTTGGTACAATCCAAGGTAGGTGTGCGCCTTTTTGGCTTGGATACAAAGCATATAAATACCTTGGCAGTGATTTCAATGTCCAGTTCATTGATGAGATCCTATGCCCGAATCGGTTGTCAGGTTGTCTGGGTTGTCAGGTTGTCAGGTTGTCAGGGTTGTCAGGTTGTCAGGGTTGTCAGGTTGTCAGGGTTGTCTTGGTTGTCAGGTTGTCAGGGTTGGCAGGGTTGTCAGGTTGTCAGGGTTGTCAGGTTGTCAGGGTTGTCAGGGTTTCCTGGGTTGTCTGGGTTGTCAGGTTGTCAGGGTTGTCAGGTTGTAAGGGTTGTCAGGTTGTCAGGGTTGTCAGGTTGTCAGGGTTGTCAGGGTTTCCTGGGTTGTCTGGGTTGTCAGGTTGTCAGGGTTGTCAGGTTGTAAGGGTTGTCAGGTTTCTGGGTTGTCTGGGTTGACAGGGTTGTCAGGTTGTCAGGGTTGTCAGGTTGTCAGGGTTGTCAGGTTGTCTGGGTTGTCAGGTTGTCAGGGTTGTCAGGTTGTCTGGGTTGTCTGGGTTGTCTGGGTTGTCAGGGTTGTCAGGTTTTCTAGGTTGTCATGGTTGTCAGGTTGTCAGGGTTGTCAGGTAGTCAGGGTTGTCTCATTGAGAAAGTTGCTCTACAAGCGCCTGGAATATTGTTGACTGCGACATAAAAGAAGCACTGCTTTTCGGGATTTGACTTGAATTGATCATATGAATTTTTTGACAGTACATGAATTTCACGTTAACTGTGAATCGAACTGTTTTAATTAATTTAATGAAGTGAATAAACATTTTTAATTAACTTTTCAGGTCGGGCACATTGAAAAACATGCCAACGGTTACTGAACCACCCAAATATTAACTAACACATTATTGAGAGGCGTTAACTTCTTATAATTCTAAAACATGTCTGATCAGGGTTACAGCACCAAATAACATGTCATACCGCCATTCGTTGCTCAGAAGCTTTCAAAGATTGACCGGGGCGGTGAGGTAGCCTAGTGGTTAAAGCGTTCGCTCGTCTCGCCGACGACCCGGGTTCGATTCCCGACATGGGTACAATGTGTGAAGCCCATTTCTGGTGTCCCCCGCCGTGATATTGCTGGAATATTGCTAAAGGCGGCGTAAAACCACAATCACACACTCACTCACTCACTCACTCACTCACTCAAATATTGGCCTTTACTTTTTCTGTAATGAGCTTTATTAAAGCAAGTATATATTTGACCGGCGGTATTCTAAAGAATGAGGGGCGGTCGGGTAGCCTAGTGGTTAAAGCGTTCGCTCGTCACGCCAAAGATCCGGGCTCGATTCCCGACATGGGGACAATGTGTGAAGCCCATTTCTGGTGTCCCCCGCCGTGATATTGCTGGAATATTGCTAAAGGCGGCGTAAAACTATACTCACTCACTCACTCACTCTAAAGAATGACATATACAGATGTCTTCACCTTTGAGGTACAGACGTATGAGATACAATCGAGTATGCTCTTTCTACGAGCATTTCAAAGAGTGTCAAACGACTCTGCTAAAAATATGATTGATCCAGGTTACAATATTCAACACCTCATTGAAGCGTTCAAAAACGTTTATGGTAGACATGTGGATGATATGTCCACATTTGCCGCAACAGTGACCAAAATGATGTTAGATGCAATTCCCTATTTTAACTTGTACAATATGTTCCCGTGTCTGTTCGGGTGAACAATTGACTTGCCTTTACGTGTGTTTGTGACGGGTGCCATTCGTACAATGGACTGTGCTTTTAGCAGGGATTTCTTATGATTATGGAATATTTTGGTTACTTTTGTTTAAATTCTTGTTTTCAGTATTTCCTAAGCAATGTGTTCACCGTGAGGCACCATCCCCGGGAGACGGTGTTTGTTCCAGTGGAGCCATGTGTTGCGAGAAACCCTGTATCCTGCTACTTTCCTAACACTGCCTATGGCTATAATAACAGACATCTTCGAGTGACGACTCTAGCGGTACGGGGAGCAAGCACGCTCCTTTTCTGTTTGTTTGTTGTTTAACGCCGCACTCAGCAATATTCCGGCTTTATGACGGCGGTCTGTAAATAATCGAGTCTGGACCAGACAATCCAGTGATTGATATCATGAGTATCGGTCCGAGCAATTGGAATACGATGACATGCATCAACCAAGTCAGTGAGCTTGACCACTCGATCCCGTTAGTCGCCTCTTACGACAAACAAAACTGCATTTTACGGCAAGCATGGGTTCCTGAAAACCTGTTCTACTCCGGATCTTCACGGGTCTCCACTGTAGTAAATGCTTTTGGTCATCCTGTGTCATGGTGTGATGGACAAAACGTCTGCCGGAGAGCGGTGGGTCGGTGGTTCGATTCTCAGCGGTCATACCAGAATACAGTCAAATGATACTTGTTGTTACCCTGCCTGTCGCTGGACATTAAGAGGATATAACAAGGACTGATCACCTCAGAGTCAGTATAATCGTTGCTATTAATATCAATCACTGGATTATGTAGTCCAGACTCGATTATTTAGAAGCTGCCGTCATATTGCTGATTGTGGTTGTAAATATATTCTAGTTTACATTGAGAGAGGTATGTAAGCATAATTATTTGATATATAACAGCAGTATGTTCGTTTGTGCATCGAACCAGACTAATATCGCTTGACGATGAGTAAATCTTCGTATTTAACCAACATGGATGGCATTCGCGTTTCTTTTGTCAGTGAGTATGTATGGACGATATTTTATGTTTCCTTCTACGAGGAGCTACATGTGTGTCCATGGCGTTGGTTAATGTGAAATAATTAAAATTGCACACAGGATATGTCAGTGCTTATGCAACGCGTTTTAAGTGTACAATTTAAATACCCGAGTAAATTTACACCTGTGGTATAATTATGTAAGAAGGTATTTACACCTGTGTTATAATTATGTAAGAAAGTATTTACACCTGTGGTATAATTATGTAAGAAAGTATTTACACCTGTGGTATAATTATGTAAGAAGGTATTTACACCTGTGGTATACTTATGTAAGAAGGTATTTATACCTGTGGTATAATTGCGTGCGAAGGTATTTACACTTGTTGTATAATTAAGTACGAAGGAATTTTCACCTGTGGCACCATTACATAAGTACGTACTAATACCTGTGGTATTATTAAGTACGTGCGTATTTACACCTGTGGTACAGTTACGTACGTAGGTATTTACACCTGTGGTATAATGACGTACGAAGATATTTACACCTGTTGCATAATGACGTACGAAGGTATTTACACCTGTGGTATAATGACGTACGAAGATATTTACACCTGTTGTATAATGACGTACGAAGGTATTTACACCTGTGGTATAATTACTTTCGAAGGTATTTACACCTGTGGTATAATGACGTACGAAGGTATTTACACCTTAGGTATAGTAACGTAGGAAGGTATTTACACCTGTGGTATACTGACGTAAGAAGGTATTTACACCTTAGGTATAGTTACGTACGAAGGTATTTACACCTGTGGTATAATGACATACGAAGGTATTTACACCTGTGGTATAATTATGTAAGAAGGTATTTACACCTGTGGTATAATTATGTAAGAAGGTATTTATACCTGTGGTATAATTGCGTGCGAAGGCATTTAAACTTGTTGTATAATTAAGTACGAAGGAATTTTCACCTGTGGCACCATTACATAAGTACGTACTAATACCTGTGGTATTATTAAGTACGTGCGTATTTACACCTGTGGTACAGTTACGTACGTAGGTATTTACACCTGTGGTATAATGACGTACGAAGGTATTTACACCTGTGGTATAATGACGTACGAAGATATTTACACCTGTGGTATACTGACATACGAAGGTATTTACACCTTAGGTATAGTTACGTACGAAGGTATTTACACCTGTGGTATAATTACATACGAAGGTATTTACACCTTAGGTATAGTTACGTACGAAGGTATTTACACCTGTGGTATACTGACGTGCGAAGGTATTTACACCCGTGGTATAATGATTTACGAAGGTATTTATTCCTTGGTATAACTGCGTACGAAGGTATTTACACCTGTGGTATAGCTGCGTACGTAGTTATTTACACCTGTGGTATAGTTACGTACGAAGGTATTGACACCTGTGGTATAGTTACGTACGAAGGTATTTACACCTGTGGTATAGCTGCGTACGTAGTTATTTACACCTGTGGTATAGTTACGTACGAAGGTATTGACACCTGTGGTATAGTTATGGTCTAACACAATCGCATTATGTTTTCAGTCCAATACGTTCATATACAAGTATGTGTTCAATGGAACAAATCACTATGAGGGATATGCAATGGAAATATTTGACACCATAACAGAGGTTCTGAATTTAAGGTATGTAGTACTTCTTTTGACTATTACGAATAACTAACAAAGTACATGTGTTATAACAACAGCATCATATATGCTCTGTGTCTAAATACGGAAATCCGAGTATTATCTACAGAATAATAAAGTACTTCATTCAGTTATATACTACCGACACAAAGTAGGGGAACTGATGAAATGATAGTGAAAGGTTTCTGACGATAAACGTCTGTAAAAATAATTTCGCGCGTGAAAATCAATATCTGGTGTCTCCACCATGTTGGACGATAAACGTAGTTTACAGTAGTCATATTCAAATTGTTTGAGACATCCAGCCTAATCTATCGGATAAAACAAAATCTGTTTCCACCACATCACTTTGGTTTTCAATAACAAAATAACTCTCCTCACTTTTGAGAAACATAGATCGAGAAGCATTTATTTATTTATGCATGCTTAGTGCCAAAACCATTAAAGCGACGTCAAAACTCCATTTCACCCCTCACCAATAAAACTTGTTCCACAGCTACAGCATCACAGAGCCAAAGGACCGGTCCTGGGGCCTCCCTGTCAACGGCACGTATGACGGCATAGTGGGAGAGTTATTCAGACGGGTAGGTGAGGAGATACTCAACACAGTAGCCGATCTTACCCTCCCTATCACACTTATGTGTTCCTGAAAACAGTCTTGATCCGGTAAACCTCACCTAAGTCTTCACAAATAAGACAGGATGTGTTTATACAACATAACAGCTGTAGCATACGGTGGCCCATAAGGGACATGGAGTCTGTTTTTCAATATTTTGATGTTTCACTCACTTTTATCGTAACCTTGTAAATTAACACAATTTGTCATACAAATATGTGATAAATCATGTATAAAAACAACCGAAAACATGGAAACTGTACTTTCAAGTAGCTAATGAGTCGCTAAAATGTGAAGCGAAAATATCAAAAACTAAAATGGAAATATCAAAATCAAAAGCGAAAATGTCAAATATGATAATATTCCCACTGCGGTGATAATATTTCCACTGCGGTGTAAATAGTTTTAACCGTGGTGGAAATAGTTTTCTGTTGTTTTATTTTAGTTTTTGACATTTTCGTTTTTGTTTTTGATATTTTCATTTTATCAAAAACAAAAACGAAAATGTCAAAAACTAAAATGAAACAACAGAAAACTATTTCTACCGCGTTGCTAATATGTCCACTGCGGTGGAAATAATTTTCACCGCGGTGGGAATATTATCACTGCGGTGGAAATAGTTTTCTGTATTTTCATTTTAGTTTTTGACATTTTCGTTTCCCTTTTCAGCGATTCAGTATCTTCTTTACACATGATTTATCACATATTTGTATGACCAATCGTGTTAATTTGCAAAAGGTTACGATAAAAGTAAGTGAAATATCAAAATATGGAAAAACAGACTCCATGTCCCTTATTGGCCACCGTAGTAGCATATGGGCATTTATGCATAAATCAGACACTGAGGAAATCAGACACTGATGACACAGCAAATGATACGAATCTAAAGTTAGAGAACAACTGTATGTGTGCGCGTTGTTTCGTGTATGAAGGGTATTGGGGGGTCGTATTGCTGAATTGTAGCTCATATCAAAGGCTGATTTGACCCAAAGATAGCTATCGACCAATGAAGATCCGAGATAGAATAGGTCTTCAGCAACCAATGCTTGCCGCAAAGGGCGACTATGCTAGGAAAGGCGTAAACTTATGGATGATCACATAAATATGTAATGTGAACATTTGTTTTTTAGAGCGATGAAAACGGTTTATTTTTGCTTGGTCAAAAGTCCAGTTTTAAAATAGAATGTATGAATATTCATTGAGATATCAGACAGACAGACAGTTTATTTAAGTAATTTAGGCATCAAGGCCCATAGTACAATGCAGATTGGATATTAACATTCATCACGTGCACGTGATGTACATGATCAGATTTTAAATCAAGTTACATATTCCTCATTTTAAAGACATGTTTTAAGAATACAGAACACCATGGATCATATCAGGATTTTCAGAATTTGGCAGATTTATCATTAACTGACGGTCTTTAAAAGTACCTTGCAATATGGGGAGAACTTTATGCCTTAAATGGGAATACGTTTCACATATAAGTAAGACATGGTATTCATCCTCTACTTCTCCGGATGAACAGTTTGTACAAATGGAGTTCACAATATCACCGTCTTTGGACCTGCGACATATATTTACGTTAAAATTATGCAATGAAATTCTAAGTTTACAATAAGCTCTGATTAAACTTTTATCATTTAAACAACTTAAGTATCTTTCAGTTTGAAACAATAATTTTACTTTGCTGTAATTGCTAAGATATGGTGATTCAGAAATACTTTGGTGCCACTGTTGACAAAATATATCCTTCAGTCTTTGTTTAAATGAATATAAAAATAACTGTGGATCTCCCACATCTTGAGAACTCCATACATTGCTAACGAGTATCAACTCACTCAAAACCAGCCCCAAACACACTCACTCACTCTTCTCCTGGCTTTTAACAAAGTGGTTAGTGTCTTCAACTTTCGTCTCTGTGGATTTTGCAATCACATTAAGATGAGACGCTGCTTACATTTGCTGGGACAAATACTGCATCAAGCATTTATTATACAGAGAAAATGCACATCTGTTTATTCTATTCTTCAAAGAGTGAATGTGAATATTTTGCTGTTATGGATACTCTACACACTTGACGCGTGTGCATGTATATTTGGTCAAGCTTGGCACTAGGCAGTCTTGCTCCTCCCCAGCAAAGAACACGTCTGTTATGATAATCAACGACTGATTATAGGTCGATGGCTGTTTATGTTGAGCACATGTTTTACAGCAATGGAGTCTTGCACGTGAACTCCTGGGCATGCACATAAGGGCGATAGTAGTTAACTGGTTCTTGACCAATACTACGACACTATCTTTGCCTTATTCAGTTGTGGTTGTTTCAGGAAGTTGACCTTGCCGTGTCTGACCTCATAATCAATGAAGACAGAGTTCGGTTCATGGACTATATTTATCCACCAATCAGGACGGAGTACCACGACGTGTTATACAAGAGACACGAACCACAAGAATACGCATCCCTCTTCCTCCTGGTCCGACCATTCCAGCCTCTCCTGTACCTTGTGATCCTGTCAGCGGCGTGTGCCATGCCCTTTCTCGTGGCCATGATAGAAAGTCATCCTTCCCAGTATCCAGATGTACAGAACACTACTCTCATCAGAGGCTATTTCACGAAGTTCAAACTGAATCTGTATACTTACAGCTGGGATGTCCTTAAGTCTCTGGCCAGGCAAGGTGAGAAGAGGTTAGGGGAAAGATGGCCGAGAAGGGGTTTGGGGAATGGGGATGGGGAGAAGGGGTTTGGGGATTTGGGGTGGAGGAGAAGGGGTTTGGGGAATGGGGGTGGAGGAGAATGGGTTTAGGGAATGGGATTGGCCCGGGAGAACGGGTTTGGGGAAAGGGGTGGGGGAGAAGGAGTTCGGGAATGGGGGTGGGGGAGAAGGGTTTAGGGGAAAGGGGGTCGGGAGAAGGAGTTAGGGGAAAGGGGAGTGGAGAAGGGGTTAGGGGAATGGGGATGGAGGAGAAGGGGTTTAGGGAATGGGATGGGGAGAAGGGGTTTTGGGGAAAGGGTTTGGGGAGAAGGAGTTAGGGAAAGGGGGTGGGGATAAGAGGTAAGGGGAAAGGGGGTCGGGAGAAGGAGTTAGGGGAAAGGGAAGGGGAGAAGGAGTTAGGGGAAAGGGCTGGGGAAAGGGGGTGAGGGAAGCGGAAGTAACAATTATTTATTCCAGTATATATAGAGAATCTCACCCGAGCGTCTTTTGATATCAGATGTATCAACACGAGTTGATAAAAACGGAAAAAACTTGAGCAAAAGGAAAAACGGTGGGATTTTATTATTCTCCCAACCTTTTCAGTTAGTAATAAGCAGTGTCTTAAGTGCAAAAAGTACTGCTAATGGCTTCAGTAGCAGAGCCATTGGTGATTGGTCATTTGAATGGTACGTCATGGTTACAATGACGTCACGATGGTTTGCAAAGCTTCGTGATGCAATTTCATTGCAGCGATATCTACAATGTAGATATCTCTTGATCTCACCCAAGCGATATCTCCTGTGGGAGCCGGTTTTTGATGATAACAAGAAATATAATATTGTCTTGGTCAGGTATTGCAAGGTTCACCGGACATGTTGGATGTCCGTGATGAAGCAATGCCAGTCTCCCCATTGGAGAGACTCCCCCCCCCCCCCCCCCCCCCCCCCCTCCCACAGTCTGCCTTCCGTGCATTTACACACGCTTGGTAACATTGTTAAGAGACCATCTGAAATTCAGAAAATCGCACATCCTAAATCCTAAGTCCTAAATCAATATTGGTATATATTGTGTGTTTGTTTCTCCATTCAAATGCTAATTGAGGTACCTGAGATATGTTATGCCACAATGATGCATCACTCCATGTTGATATAGATGTTGTGACCACGCACAGATGACGAGGATATAATGAGTAGACGGCAATTAGGCCAGCATATGTTTAGTCATCCTAATAATGTTCAAACGCAGATTCGTCTGAAGTGGCCTAGCTTTTTATGAAGTGGTGAGAGGGACTCGTGGGGTGTGGTGTGGGGTGGAATTGTGGTCTTGCACATAGGGTCGGCCCTGTGGTATTCCAGAACATCGGTCCAGGGAGAGGCAATGGTGTCACAGCAGCTCGGTACATTGATCAAGTCTTGAGACCACACGCCATACCGCATTTGGTAATGCAGTTTTGAAAATGGATAGCAATTACTGTTATGATTCGACCCAAACGAGAATCTGTGATGCGGTCTGCATGTGTGCATTACATTATTTACAGTGTATTATAGACATTGATCGTGGTACTGAGATACATGTAAATACGCAGTCAGAGCTCCATTATTGAGAAACTCTTTGGTTTCTGTTTTTAATTGGGCTTGTCTCGAAAAGAAAATATGCTCGAAGTTGTGTTTCGGTAATTAGCTCTTTTGTAAGCACGCTGAAAAAGCTTAATTGGGTGTAGTATACTGAACCACAAAAGAAACGTCACCCCAAGTAACATTGCATGAAAAGTTGTCATTTATATATCTTGGTAATTTTTGTCAAAGTTTCTAAAATTTAACATTATCTTGTCCGAAAAAAATGAGATTTGATGATAAAAAAACAAAGCAGATGACAATAAAACCGATCGCCAAAACGCATCACGGCAACGGCCTTGGTAACCCGATGCACGTTTTTTCTGTGCAAATTGAAGTGCACATGCGTTCCCCTTTTCGTGCCCTATAAAAATCCAGATCACCAACACTACAGATGACCGACAACGTAGTGGAAGACCAAGGATCGTCAGATTGTGCGACAGCATCTTCAAGATCGCTTTGTTACTGCTAAGGAAACTGCTCGACAGACCATGGGGTCATCACCAGCGACACATTAGTGCGGAAACCGTGCGTCGACGATTGATGAGCAGACACCTCCACTGTAACAGGCCACACCGAGGACCCATTCTGACACCACGTCGTCACGAGGACCGTCTTCAGTGGGCAACACAGCACCAGCATTGGCGCCACAAGCAGTGGAGAAGAGTCCTCTTCTCAGACGAGAGCCGTTACTGTATCTCAACAGCAGATGGCATAGAGAGAGCGACGACGTGGGGAACGTTATTCGGATGCTTGTGTTGTAGAGAGACTCGTTGGGTGGTTCGAGCATCATGGTGTGGGGTTGAATTGTGGTCTTGCACATAGGGTCGGCCCTGTGGTCTTTAAGAACATCGGTCCAGGGAGAGGCAATGGTGTCACAGCAGCTCTGTACATTGACCAAGTCTTGAGACCACGCGCCCAACCTCGTTTGGCATGTTGCTGCAACCATGAGCTTCAGTATGATAACGCCCGTGCCCACACTGTGAGAGCAACAAGAGACTTCCTCCAGCAGAAAGGCATCAGAACCATGCAGTGTCCTGCCCTCAGTCACGATTTAAATTCCATTGAGCCGCTGTGGGACGAGATTCAAAGACGGCTGAATGACGTCAGACCAAGGCTGACAACTGCAGCTGAACTGCGTCAGGCGTTCCTCAGAGTGTGGGCTCAAGTGCCTATGGCCTTCATCAACCACCTCATCCATTCAATGTATCGACGTTGCACGACAGTCATCAATGCACATGGCGGACACACGAGATACTGACCTGTGATGCCATTTTCTCAGAGACTAGTGTCATGTCTCAGTTTAAGAACATTTGACACTTTCATTTCAACCTTGATGCTAAGTTTTGCCAAATTTCATCTTTTTAATATGTCTCCAAGTATGTTTACAGTGTTTGGACAAATAAGGTTTCTCATATATCTACCAATGGTCACGTTTCTTTTGCTGTTAAGTATGTGTTACCGAGCTGTTTTTATGCATTTGAGTTTTTTCATTTCATGGATGCGTTTCTGTTCGCAAGTTAATTGAAAGTAATTGGCTTTTGAATATTTGGGTGGTATTTTACGCAAATACGTTTCTTATCTGTAGTTCTGCTGCAATCGTTCTGTTACAGATGTCATGACAAAATAGCAATACCATATTGGGATTCCCGATCAGAATAGATCCCAACTAAAAGTGAGATTTGGCTGTCAGTATCTCTAAATAATTATTATACTGGTTGAGCGTTAATTGTGCAAACACTGGATTGACAGGTCCTGATGCCATGATTTATAGTTTTTTACAGCAAAAAAAAGAAGAAAGAAAATATAAGTGAGTTGGGTTTAGCTATTAACCGTACTTAAGTTATATCACGGAGTGTCAGCGTGGAAAGCCCGAAGTGATCTACAATTTTTTGGGAAACCACGAACTAGGGTATGATGCTGACAAACCTAAAATACATAATCATTGTGGAACTGGATTTCAAACCCACGGTGATTGTGAAGATCCAGGATAGAATAGGTCTTCAGCAACCCATGCTTGCCGTAAAAGGCGACTAACGGGATCGGGTGGACTCGCTGATTTGGTTGATCAATGTCATCACATCCCATTTATGTGGATCGATGTTCATGGTGTCAATCACTGGATTGTCTGGTCGATTATTTACATACGGCGTCATATAGCTGGAATTTTGCTGTGTGGAGCGTTAAACCAAAAAAAAAAGTAAAACAAATAGACTCAAATCTACACAACGACTGGGTCACCCTTGCCCCATAGGAAGCAAAGCAACTCCATCCAGATATAAGTACCATACTGATAGCGACAAGCGCTTACGGTCAAAGGGAGATAATTCTAGATACCGGAAGTAATATAGACGATGGGTGTTGTGCCGCAATCGACATACAAATATGTCATGATGCGACAAGACGACATTTTGCTAAGCGTTTGCTACTGAGAAGCTGCTACAGTTGCTTAGCAGCTGCTTAGTAAAACTGGAGCAACCTCTAAGTAAAATGTACCAACTGCTAAGCAAAATGTCTTCTTGTCGAATCATGATATAATTTTATATGGATTGCGGCAGAACCACCATCGTCAATACTACTCCGGAAGTGATAACATTCTACTGTTGCTGGTAATTGATCGAATGTTTGGTACATGTAGCTAGGATATATGTTAGGTTGTGAGGATAAGATAACATGGTAGAAACGGGTGTTTTGAGTCTTGATCTTGAATAAACAAGTCGTGTTGTAACGAGCAGTGTTACGATCTTTCAATACATTGCTAGGTTTCAGCACGCATCCCCGAACAATGTCAGGGAAGGTGCTGGTGACGTCGTGGTGGCTGCTGGTGCTGGTGCTGACCTCGGTCTACTGCGGCAACCTAGTGGCAGCTCTGTCAGCTCACGCTGATTCGCCTCTATTCTCCAGTCTAGAGGAGCTGTTAGACAGTGATTATTCGGTTGGAATGGACGGCAATAGCATCAGCAACACTGTACTGGAGGTATGTGGTCATACCAGAACAACGAGTATATACCCAATGACTGATCTTACTTGTTTAGGGTGGACTAAAAGCATCTTCTCAGAGACAAATGAGTTAATTGATTATAAAAGTTTCCACCCTTGTCGAACTAGGCAGGTATTATGGAGTTACATTTTGGCTAGACTAACGAGTCTATGCTTAGTCCAATCAAAATGGCGCAACGAAATCGAAATCCGATTCGTGAACTGTCTTGCAGATTTCAATCGATTGCAAAGCATCTACACCTCCAACTCATTGTCAACGCACGAAATTTCCTAAATCTTTTCATGTTTTTAATTATAGTGTTCACGTGATTAGATGCACTTCGCGATGTATGACTCGTATTATCACAATATAGATCTTGATTATCGATCAGATTGTCTAGACTGGGCACCGCCATTTTGTTTGAAGCAAATGCAAGTTAGATGAGAGGTGGAATCTGATTGGTCCATAGGAGAGGCACAGAAGGGACATAACTCGTAATAGCCACAGGTGGTTCTATGATCAAGCCCAGGAATCCAGACCTTGTGCAGCCCCCTCCCCCAATCCCGCCCACTGTCAAAGCAATTAGACAACGTCCAATATGTTGTATTAATGTTGAAGTTATCAAGGCATAATTCATTGTTCTGTTTATCACCTACAGGCAAGTTCAAACACAAGTGTTCCGGGCAGGGCATGGGCCAAAATAACAACCAAAGACGACGTCCAATATGTTGTATTAAGGTTGAAGTTATCAAGGCATAATTGATTGATCTGTTTATCACCTACGGGCAAGTTCAAACACAAGTGTTCCAGGCAGGCCATGGGCCAAAATAACAAACAAAGACGACGTCCAATATGTTGTATTAATGTTGAAGTTATCAAGGCATAATTTAATTGATCTGTTTATCACCTACAGGCAAGTTCAAACACAAGTGTTCCGGGCAGGGCATGGGCCAAAATAACAAACAAAGACCACGTCCAATATGTTGTATTAATGTTGAAGTTATCAAGGCATAATTGATTGTTCTGTTTATCACCTACAGGCAAGTTCAAACACAAGTGTTCAGGGAAGACTATGGGCCAAAATAACAAACAATGATCCAAGCTTTCTCAAATCCGATGCTGCTAATCATATTAGGAGAATAAAGCAACAGAAATATGCCCTCCTCCTGTTCAAGTCCAGCGCTGAATCCTACTCTGCTGAAGACTGTCAGCTGGAACCGCTTGGAGCAGAGCAGTTGTGGATACATCTGGCTTTCGGCATTCAGAAGAACTCACCACTAAAGGATGACATACAAAGGATGTAAGACCCACTCACTCTCCATGAAGGAATCCTTTATTCTCTATCTATGGAGGAATCTGTTATTTTCTCACTAAAAAAGATTAATTTATTGGCTCATTACGTCTAATCCTATATGCTCTTACTGTTGGGAAACCCTTTTGTCAGTTTAAAGGAATCCTTCTCGGGGCAGTCGGGTAGCCTTGTCGTTAAAGCGTTTGTCACGCCGAAGACCAGGTTTTGATTCCCGACATGGGTACAATGTGTAAAGCCAATTTCTGGTGTCCCTCGACGTGATATTGCTGAATATTGCAAAAGGTGGCGTAAAACCATACTCACTCACTCACTTTAGACTCTCACTTTTGAGGAATCCCCATTATAGTCTTATCAAGGAGGAATCTTTTATTCCCTCACTAAGGCAACACTGTATGTTCCCATTACAAATGGACCCCTTATTCAAGTATATCCTCTTTATGTAGAACTCCTTTCATTTCTCAGTAATGAAGAATACTTTATTTATTAGGGGCGGTCTGGTAGCCTAGTGGTTAAAGCGTTCGCTCGTCACGCTGAAGACCCGGGTTCGATTCCCGACATGGGTACAATGTGTGAAGCCCATTTCTGGTGTCCCCCGCCGTGATATTGCTGGAATATTGCTAAAAGCGGCGTAAAACCATACTCACTCACTCACTCACTGTATTTATTACTTTATTATCTCCCTTATTAGAAAAACTTGAAACCTTTATGAAAAAAGGAATCCTATTTCTCACACTGACGAGAAATAACTCACTCTATCACTAAGTACTTGCTTGAAGCATGTGTATCTGCCGTTAGGACGCTCGTCCTGAGTAGAATACCGTGATTAGTTTGTGAAAGATTGTAATTAGTGATGCTTTAAGTATTGTAAACACTCCCCAGGAACACAATAGGTGCATTTTACGTCTTAATCTAAGAGATGCCGCGATATAACTGGAACCCTGTCAAAAGCGGCGTTAAACACAACTCACTCACTCATTGTCCACTTGCTTCTGTAACAGGATGTCCTATCTAAGCCAAAGTGGAATCCTGGAGATGTTATGGAAGAAGTGGCACCAGCAAATGGGCGAGACGAAGTGTGTCAGCAACAGGAGCACTATGACAGGTATCTCCTTGGAACAAATCGGTGGTGGCTTCATCCTTGCAGGTGTCGGGCTGGTGCTAAGCACCATTGTTCTGAGCCTAGAGAAACTAAAAGCCTACAAATCAAGACTGTGCGAATGAGGGAGTTGGATGTTTCCTGCTGTCTATGTGAGCTTAGAGAAACTAAAAGCCTACAAATCAAGACTGTGCGAATGAGGGAGTTGGATGTTTCCTGCTGTCTATGTGAGCTCAGAGAAACTAAAAGCCTACAAATCAAGCCTGTGCGAATGAGGGAGTTGGATGTTTCCTGCTGACTATGTGAGCTTCGAGAAACTAAAAGCCTACAAATCAAGACTATGCGAATGAGGGAGTTGGATGTTTCCTGCTGTCTATGTGAGCTTCGAGAAACTAAAAGCCTACAAATCAAGACTATGCGAATGAGGGAGTTGGATGTTTCCTGCTGTCTATGTGAGCTTAGAGAAACTAAAAGCCTACAAATCAAGACTATGCGAATGAGGGAGTTGGATGTTTCCTGCTGTCTATGTTAGCTTAGAGAAACTAAAAGCCTACAAATCAAGACTGTGCGAATGAGGGAGTTGGATGTTTCCTGCTTGATTATGTGAGCTTCGAGAAACTAAAAGCCTACAAATCAAGACTGTGCGAATGAGGCAGTTGGATGTTTCCTGCTGTCTATGTGAGCTTCGAGAAACTAAAAGCCTACAAATCAACACTGTGCGAATGAGGGAGTTGGATGTTTCCTGCTGTCAATGTGAGCTTCGAGAAACTAAAAGCCTACAAATCAAGACTATGTGAATGAAGGAGTTGGATGTTTCGTGCTGTCTATGTGAGCTTCGAGAAACTAAAAGCCTACAAATCAAGACTATGCGAATGAGGGAGTTGGATGTTTCCTGCTGTCTATAAGGAGCTTCGAGAAACTAAAAGCCTACAAATCAAGACTATGCGAATGAGGGAGTTGGATATTTCCTGCTGTCTATGTGAGCTTCGAGAAACTAAAAGCCTACAAATCAAGCCTGTGCGAATGAGGGAGTTGGATGATTCCTGATGTCTATGTGAGCTTCGAGAAACTAAAAGCCTACAAATCAGGACTGTGCGAATGAGGGAGTTGGATGTTTCCTGCTGTCTATAAGGAGCTTCGAGAAACTAAAAGCCTACAAATCAAGACTGTGCGAATGAGGGAGTTGGATGTTTCCTGCTGTCTATGTGAGCTCAGAGAAACTAAAAGCCTACAAATCAAGACTATGCGAATGAGGGAGTTGGATGTTTCCTGCTGTCTATGTGAGCTTAGAGAAACTAAAAGCCTACAAATCAAGACTGTGCGAATGAGGGAGTTGAATGTGATCTGCTGTCTATGTGAGCTCAGAGAAACTAAAAGCCTACAAATCAAGACTATGCGAATGAGGGAGTTGGATGTTTCCTGCTGTCTATGTGAGCTTCGAGAAACTAAAAGCCTACAAATCAAGACTGTGCGAATGAGGGAGTTGAATGTGATCTGCTGTCTATGTGAGCTCAGAGAAACTAAAAGCCTACAAATCAAGACTGTGCGAATGAGGGAGTTGGATGTTTCCTGCTGTCTATGTGAGCTTCGAGAAACTAAAAGCCTACAAATCAAGACTGTGCGAATGAGGGAGTTGGATGTTTCCTGCTGTCTATGTGAGCTTAGAGAAACTAAAAGCCTACAAATCAAGGCTATGCGAATGAGGGAGTTGAATGTGACCTGCTGTCTATGTGAGCTCAGAGAAACTAAAAGCCTACAAATCAAGACTGTGCGAATGAGGGAGTTGGATGTTTCCTGCTGTCTATGTGAGCTTCGAGAAACTAAAAGCCTACAAATCAAGGCTATGCGAATGAGGGAGTTGGATGTTTCCTGCTGTCTATGTGAGCTTAGAGAAACTAAAAGCCTACAAATCAAGGCTATGCGAATGAGGGAGTTGGATGTTTCCTGCTGTCTATGTGAGCTTCGAGAAACTAAAAGCCTACAAATCAAGACTATGCGAATGAGGGAGTTGGATGTTTCCTGCTGTCTATTTGAGCTTAGAGAAACTTAAAGCCTACAAATCAAGGCCATGCGAATGAGGGAGTTGGATGTTTCCTGCTGTCTATGTGAGCTTCGAGAAACTAAAAGCCTACAAATCAAGGCTATGCGAATGAGGGAGTTGAATGTGACCTGCTGTCTATGTGAGCTCAGAGAAACTTAAAGCCTACAAATCAAGGCCATGCGAATGAGGGAGTTGGATGTTTCCTGCTGTCTATGTGAACTTCGAGAAACTAAAAGCCTACAAATCAAGGCTATGCGAATGAGGGAGTTGAATGTGACCTGCTGTCTATGTGAGCTTCGAGAAACTAAAAGCCTACAAATCAAGACTATGCGAATGAGGGAGTTGGAAGTGACCTGCTGTGTATTTCAGTTTTTCACGGCGTGGTTGTTCGTTGGGAGGATAGACCATTAAACAACAACCACTTCTATGCGGATTGTTTGGCAGTGGAATGATAATGAATTCTAAAGTTTTCTATTACATTTTATTATCCCACAATTACATATGTACAGACAAAACTGAAGGCAGAATACTACAAGAAAATAGTAGTAGTTCTCCAACAGTTACATTGTTGATGCAATGTCTTGTGACATCCAAACTGGATTACTGCAATGGATTGTATGCTAATCTTCCCATGAAAGCCATATCAAAGCTACAACGCATTCAGAGCTCTGCATCTCTGCTTACTTCTGCTATGTCTGACCGTGCCTTCTCCTTTTGCAGTCCACAGTTATGGAACTCTTTGTCTTTGAATCTGAGAAACTCTGCTTCTAAGGAAACGTTTAAGTCTCTCCTCAAAACCCACTTCTTCACTTCAGCTTTTCAAGAGATCTCATGATTGTTGGCATATGTACATAGACATTACATTTTAACTTTCTCACAGCGCCAGTGAGCAACTGTCGATGGATATTAGGCGCTTTACAAATCAATTATTATCTGAATATGACTTACTGTTATCGTAACCTTTTGCAAATTAACACGAATTGTCATACAAATATGTGATAAATCATGTATAAAGTAGATATTGAATCGCTGAAAAGTGAAGCAAAAATGTCAAAAACAAAAACGAAAATGTCAAAAGCCAAAGCGAAAATGTCAAAAACTAAAATGAAATACAGGAATTACTTTTCACAGCAGTGGACATTTTTTTCTGTATTTTCATTTTAGTTTTTGACATTTTCGCTTCACATTTCAGCGATTCAACAGCTACTTGAAAGTACATTAACCATGTTTTCGGTTGTTTTTATACATGATTTATCACATATTTGTATGACAAGTTGTGGTAAATTTGTAAAAGGTTACGATAAAAGTAAGTGAAATATCAAAATATTCAAAAACAGACTCCATGTCCCTTATGGGCCACCATAAGTAAGTCTTCTGTTGGTAGGTATTGGCGATAATCAGTTTCACAATTATGTACAAGGACATGCAACAAAGCGAAGGAAGGAAACCTTTATGTTTCTGAGGACAATGCTTCCATTAGCATCTCGGAGAGCGGAAGGTCCAGGTTTCGATCCACGGCTGCGTCATACCAAAGAACGTTATAAGATGGTACTTGTTGCTACCCTGTCTGGCGCTCGCATCAAGGGCTAAAAACAAGGACTGGTCGGCCCGAGTTAGTATTCGGAGACTGAGTGGGGTATTCATGTTTAACTACGGCTTGGTAACTCAATGGGCTATCACTGTAAATCGACATTAGTCCTGACTAGTTCAAGCCACACACGCACGCACGCACGCACGCACGCGCGCGTCGTAAAACTCCATTTCACCATACCAACTTGTTACACTGCTTTGCTCCTAGGGATAGAAGATCTGGTCGGCTTGGAGTCAGTATAATGTGTCTGAATTGGGTACCCATGTTAAACTGCGGCATGGCATCTCAGTTGGCTAGAACTATAAAACTGGCATAACTCGAGTACGGTTGGCTACTCAGACACAGGAACGCGTCCATTCGAGTGTAATTATGAAGACCAAGTCGTTTAAACGTTTAAAAACTGAAACATGTTGTGTTCATTTTTGAATAAAAGTGACAATTCCCTTTCCAGAGGATTGCACGATTCCGACTATATCTAGAATGAATCAATGAATCACGATCAATAAAGGATTGACTGTGGATTGTGTTCTGTTGATACCTCAATGAACCGAAAAATCTCAAAAGTCAATCCTTATAATTAAATTTGACAAGGAAGACATATGTTAGCCACAATAGTTTAACCAAAACCAGTTGTATTTATCAGAGCAGACAAAATTAACGAGATTGATAAACATTCCAGGTGTAGGAATATATACTGTGGCGTGACATGAATCAGGTGATTGTCTAAGTTAGGCACCACGGAGTCAATATCCATTCTAAGATGACATTGAAGAATACTTGATTCTGACTGATTAAAAAGAGGTTCCCTTTTTGCTACGGAAACGCCTTTTAAATATATTAAGCTTTTTCACACAAAAGGGTGCGCATGAATACATCGACAGCCTACCTATCGATTGATAAAAATTGGCTCCTGGTCGATGTATCGATATTTCCTCTATTACACGCTGGGTCTCTAATACAAGCCAGGTCTCTTATACATGCTGAGTCAAGGGCTCTCGCGTAATTAATAGACGCGTGAAGATCCCGGGTAGAATAGGTCTTCAGCAACCCATGCTTGCCATAAAAGGTGACTATGCTTATCGTAAATGGCGACTAACGGGATCGGGTGGTCAGGCTCGCTGACTTGGTTGATGCATGTCATCAATCCCAATTGCGTGGATTGATGCTCATGATATTAATCACTGGATTGTCTGGTACAGACTCGATTATTTACAGACCGGCATCATATAGCTGGAATATTGCTTACTGTGGCGTCAGACAAACAAACAAACAAAACAAACAAACATGTTCAGTTCCAAAGTTTGCAATTGGGATCACAGTTCGGATCGATGACATCAGAATGTGAATATTGTAATACATTTATTAATTGTATACCACTTGATAGTTGTTGCTTTCGCATTTAGTTTTCTTGGTTGACATATTGATTCAATTTGGGAAACAATGAAGTCTCGTCGGGCAGACATATAATACATGTATATTATATTATACATGAA